AGCCTGTCTATGATGCCTTAAAATGTTTCTGGGAAGGCAGCTCTAGGTTTTGGACCAGATGCATTTGTTTTGTTACCTTCTGGGTATTTGTAGAGGTGTGTGATGTCCACACGCGCATCAGATCCCACAGCTTTAGTACTAATGCTCTGACCGATGGAGTTCTTCTCCACATGAACCTGACTGAAACTTCCATCGGGTTTCTTCTGCCAGTAGATTCTGTCACTGTTTACCTGAGACGCACAGTGAAACCATTTCAGCCATTCAGCAGATGTTCTGAATTAAGTTCAAAACCTCATCAGACACAAGTGAGGGTGAGAAGAGGTTTATATGAAAGTGCTCACTTCGGCAAAGACAAACGGAGTGTCAAATTTCAGGTTGACTTGTCCGTTGCGGACGGCGGAGACGGGGGTGGGACTGCAGCGGTATGAACCCTGGCTGGGCTCCTGAGGGGTCGAGTCCACCACCTGCCACCCGCCGTAACCTTCCGGGAGGTCCAGACGGGTCATCCAGGACTCGTTCCACACGTGGAAGTTCCTTCAGAGAAAGTTTATTTAAAGCATTTATTGTTGGTCTGCAATTTACAAAAATAAAGCTGAATAGGCCTAGAACATGGCCTGATTTTTTTTTTTTTTTTTTACTTAAAAAAAAAAATCATGATCAACCTCAAACTAAATATTATTAGGGCAGGTTGCAGGGTAGGTTTTTTTCAACTGATTTCTGTCACTTTGTGTTGCGAAAATTATTAAATAAACATTAAATAATCATAAAAATCAAATATACAAAATATCTAAATTAAATAACTGACAACGGACTCATGAACAACTATCACAAAAAAAAATAAAATAAAATAAATAAACAGCTGTGGATCACCCAGGTAACAACACAGTATTAAGAAACAAGCATGTAAACTTTTGAACGGGGTCATTTGTATAAATTCAACTATTATTTTCTCTTGTGGACTATACATAAACGTCTTTTATGTGAAATATCTTATTCAGGTCAGTACTAAATAAAAACTAACATGCAATTTGTATGATCCCTCTTATTTTGGTAAAATAATACTGCAAAGATTATATATTTATATGTATACATTTATATATATATATGAAATAAAGCATAGTTGCAGTAGGTTATTTTGTCAACATTTATTGTATTTCAAGAGATGAATTTATTTATGGTTTTACTTTTAGTTGAATATAATAATCCTAGTACCATATTAATGTAAAGTGTCAGTAATGATGGCTGTATTTGAGAACTGTCAGCTCACTTACCAACAAAATTTAATTAAAATTTTTCCAAGCATATGTTTTACTGATCGGTGGAGTCTAAGTATAACAGAAACCTGACACTGATGATATTAATGACAATAAAAGGAACTTAAGAGGTGATGGTTGTTGTTTTTTTCGTACCATACAGAATCGCTGGTCTTGTCTTTGATGATTTCCAGTTTCTCATCAATATAAATGTCTGTGGTCAAGGAAAGGTCCGTGTCGTGAGCCGAGCTGAAGTTGGTCACACAGCGGGTGGGAATACCGAGACATCTCAACACTGAGAGAGAAATGTATTTATATAACATTTTATTTCTAAAAACATGGTAAAAATAAATTTTCACTAGAGTGATAAAAAGAGACATCCAAACGTACCGGAATTGGTGACTCCCGCGAAAACCCAGCACTGGGCGAATTTGACGGGCTTCCCTGAACTTTTGTAATACTGTCTCAGGATGTCGCCGCTCCCGCTCCAGGCGGTGGGAGACGTCCCGCCCTCATAGCTGTCTTTCCAGTTACCCATCAGAACACCGTAGTCATCGTTGGAGTTCACCTGTCCCAGAAGAACAGAAAAGCCTTTCGAAACAGGTGCTCTTCAGCTCTTTAATTGCACGCCTTATACTTTTCTGTTCCTCACAGTAAATGTTGAAAAAGACAGTACATGTTGTTTTGTGTCCTGTATGAACTTAAAACTACCACATGCTGGCAACTGTAATTCACCTGCTCAAATCCATGTCATATTCATGATTTCTTATGAATGCATGTCGACGTCTTGTGAACGTGACTCACCAGAGCAGATACCATTCTGGACACGATCACTGGATCTCTCCATTCGGTCATAGCGACCTGACCTCTCTCCAACAGGAACAGACACGCTTCCAGGATATCCTGTTCAAACTGATCAAACGAATGCAAAATAATACAAATCATAATAATGGAATTGAAAATAATCGAAAAATGGAAATAATAATAATAACTGTAGAATCATAGATAATACTAGAATTTGATTGAAACTGATAAAACAATTGCATAATATATAATAGCTAATATTAATACTAGTATTTAATTTCATTATTATTACACTGTAAAAAATAAAAAGTTGAGAAAACTTAAAAGTTTAAGGCAACCAGCTTCAGCAAATGTTTGTGTTTTCGCAACTTGTTGTTTTCAGTTTACACAATAAAAAGTTGAGAAGACTCAAAAATCTCCTACAAAAACAAGTTGAGAAAAAAATCCGCTGAAGCGGGTTGCCTTAAACTTTTAAGTTTTCTCAACTTTTTATTTTTTACAGTGTTTTTCATTATTGAAACTGAAATTGTTTATTATTATTATTATTGTTGCTGTTTTGCCCCTTTATCATTTTGATTATTATTGTTTTTGTTGTTGTTACTATTATTTGTTGTTATTTCCATTATTATTATTATTATTATTATTAGAATTATAGACAATAATAAATCTGTTCAAACTGAAAAAATAATTGCATGATGACGATGGTGATGATAATAATAATCCTTTTCAAATGTATAAAACAATTGCAAATTAGCAATAATAATGGAGATAATAACAATAATAATAAACCAATAAAAATGCATAATAATAATAATAAATTAAATTAATAAAACATATGAATCATTGCAACAACAACAACAACAATAGTAATAGAATAATAGACAATAATAGAATCTGTTCAAACTGATAAAAGAATAGCATAATAATAATAATAATAATAAAAAACCTGTTCAAACTATAATAATAATAATAACAGTCACTCTCTACGTCGGAGTTGTGTGTTTCCACACCTGAGCAAAATTCCATGTTCTGGTTCCAATTTGCTGCTCGGTTCCGTAGTAAACTTTGCCCATGCTATTCAGAACATACTCTTTCCTTTCCGCTTCATTATCCAGATACACAGGATCATCTGAGGAAAGACAGATTAAATGTAGTGTTACTTCATTAATGCAAATGAGGAAAAGATGAGTGTCTTCCGCTGACTCCGTACCTTCACACCAGGGGTTGAAGAGCATGTACACGTCGTTCGGGGTGCAGGGGAACAGCAGCTTGCCCTTCGGTGAGAAAGACTCCACGGTCACCTTGTAGCGGCCGATGGAGGCGGTGGGAAGAGTGTTGACCGCCGATCTTCATCTCCCAGCGGCCGTCTTCCAGGACGTCCACTAACGGGACAGAGATGTGAATCCCGGTACTTCTGCTGAAGATCGGCTCTGTGCCAAAAACACAACCCAGACATGGAAACATTACTGTCAGACGAACACCGTCTTAATGATTTAGCTTTAATCGAATCATCTGTCAGTGACTCAGCTGGAGAGCCATTAAGAAAAAAGATTTTAGGAGCAGCTGGATTAGACGGATTAGGTCACATAATCACAAGCACTTTATGACTCCCATCCATCACGAATGAATAGATTCATCTGTCAGTTTTTCTTTCCCAAATAAAGGGCAAGATAATTGAACTAACCATCAGAATGTCTGGGCATCTTTCTCTCTCTGTCACACACTGATTTGTCATTCAAACAATGCTAATGCATCTGACTCTGAATGAAAAACATGTTTTCATTTCCATAGCCACTGCATGATTATGTTTTATGAGTTTCCACACAGATATCCAACACCAGTTAAAATAAGATCAATTAATTTTAAATGCACCTTAATGCCTGGTTAAGTTTTTTTTTTATTATTGATGGATTGACTATTGATTTCGAAGTTGTTCTTCTGATACTGATTTGATTTCTGATTTTGATTTCACTCTGATTTCGATTCTGATTCTGCTTTTTCAGACATTAATTGTGTTTTTTTATGAGTTATTTTACTATAACTGAGATACTATTATAATGTTTATAATAGTATCTCAATTTTATACTATTATAAAATTACTATTGCAAACTTGAATTAGTTTTTATATTGTTTATTTTTATTTTCTTTAAAGTTTTAGTAATTTTATCATTTCTCCGTACCTTCACACCAGGGGTTGAAGAGCATGTACACGTCGTTCGGGGTGCAGGGGAACAGCAGCTTGCCCTTCGGTGAGAAAGACTCCACGGTCACCTTGTAGCGGCCGATGGAGGCGGTGGGAAGAGTGTTGACCGCCGATCTTCATCTCCCAGCGGCCGTCTTCCAGGACGTCCACTAACGGGACAGAGATGTGAATCCCGGTACTTCTGCTGAAGATCGGCTCTGTGCCAAAAACACAACCCAGACATGGAAACATTACTGTCAGACGAACACCGTCTTAATGATTTAGCTTTAATCGAATCATCTGTCAGTGACTCAGCTGGAGAGCCATTAAGAAAAAAGATTTTAGGAGCAGCTGGATTAGACGGATTAGGTCACATAATCACAAGCACTTTATGACTCCCATCCATCACGAATGAATAGATTCATCTGTCAGTTTTTCTTTCCCAAATAAAGGGCAAGATAATTGAACTAACCGTCAGAATGTCTGGGCATCTTTCTCTCTCTGTCACACACTGATTTGTCATTCAAACAATGCTAATGCATCTGACTCTGAATGAAAAACATGTTTTCATTTCCATAGCCACTGCATGATTATGTTTTATGAGTTTCCACACAGATATCCAACACCAGTTAAAATAAGATCAATTAATTTTAAATGCACCTTAATGCCTGGTTAAGTTTTTTTTTTATTATTGATGGATTGACTATTGATTTCGAAGTTGTTCTTCTGATACTGATTTGATTTCTGATTTTGATTTCACTCTGATTTCGATTCTGATTCTGCTTTTTCAGACATTAATTGTGTTTTTTTATGAGTTATTTTACTATAACTGAGATACTATTATAATGTTTATAATAGTATCTCAATTTTATACTATTATAAAATTACTATTGCAAACTTGAATTAGTTTTTATATTGTTTATTTTTATTTTCTTTAAAGTTTTAGTAATTTTATCATTTTGATTATTTTTAAAAAATATATGTTATATTTTGTTATTATTTTAATTATGTTATTTAAATTTATTATTTTATTATTTTTATTTTTATTTCAGTTTTAGCTTTAGTTATTTTGGTACAGCAAGTTAAACAAAACAAAAATTAGAAATGCTGCATTGGCAACTAGCTGAAATAAAATAAGTTAAATCTTTTTCTTCGGAGTCATTTCTGAGCACCTCATGAAACAAAAAATAATGTATGTTGTCAAATAGGTTTTGTGAACGTGGCTCACTCACCTAACTTCAGCTGCAGCTGCAGACGGTCAGATTTGGGGTTGAAGGGTCTCGAGAACTCGATCCACATCTGGAAGGTCTGTCCTCTGCGGACGATCAGCTTGTCGCTAAAGTAAGCTTCTGTGCGATGCTCGCGCCGGTTCGGCCCATCCTTGGATTTCAGGAGGTCAACGGAGTGAACCGTCAGAAGCGTGTCTGTGAATAAGAGAGGAAATGTTTACACATCCCTTAAAGCATCAAATCTCAATGTTTTCCCAACAATAGTGGACTATTTTTCATGCAAATGAACTGCACTAGAGTCTCCCTCATCCTCTTCCTCCTCACCTGAAGCAGCCGGGGTCGCAGCAGCAGGAGCGCTGGCACTGGGACCTCCAGTGTTGGTGTTAGAGCTAGACATTTCTGCAAGCAGGCTGAAATATTGAGAGAGAAAAAATATGTTAAATGCTCTTTCAATCAAGCAATAAAAAATATAAATATTAAATAAAATTAATAAATATATATTCTAATTCTAATATTTGAATCAACTAAAAAAAATAATAAAAATTAAAAAAAAAAATGTGTATGTGCATATTATGAAAATGTAATAAATATAAAACTGAATAAATAAAAATGCAATAAATACAATTCTAATAAATAAATAAATACATAAATTATTTTAATACAATTCAAATAAATAAAATACAAAAAAATATTAAATTGATAAATATAATTCTAAAACATCAATAAATGTTTTCAAATATTTATTTAAATTTTACATCCTTAGTAATAACAAACAAACAAATAAATAAATAAATAAAATATAAATAAGATTTGTAATTTTGGATAAAAGTGTCTGCCAAATGTGCAAATGTAAATGTAAAATAAATATATTTAATTATTTATTTAAATTCCTCATCTTTGTATTTAATTCCAGGTTCACATTAGATTTGATTTTGAGTCATAAAATACTTGGTTAACCTACACTAGCAGAGAAAACTTTGGATTGAATGCAAGTTCATCAAGATTTTAACAATCTTTTGATCCAAAGGTTTCTACTTACATGCTGTTTAAATTAAATTTTGTAGATAAATGCAATCGTTCAAATACAGTTGTGCCAACAGATGATTTCTTTACAATACTGAAATTAGAGACAGAGAAGGACGTGTTCCTAGGATGCACCTTCATCATTTCACTTTACTATTATTAACATATGGAAAATCATATTGGAAAATCATCATAATAAAGAATCAGCAGATGCATCCAAACTCTTAAATTGCTGGTGTTCATATACTAAAACAAGTCTTCTACTGTTATGTTTCCTCATTGAAATGTCATTGAAATGTCATGCATCACCTCCCACACCAAACGTCGAGTCATTATCATAGTTCTTCCACAAAAGACGCCTCTTACACTCACACCTGAATAAGAACCTGCGGGCAGCTGGATTAAAGTGCATGACATCATCCTGGACCAGCATTAGTGCTTTCCTCATCATACGTAAACTTAAGTACCTACTCATTGAGTATGCGGTTTCGAACGCAGACATTGTCTTCGCATAGGATAAGAAAACTCAGTCTCATGAATAATTATGAGACACTGGCGCGTCATCAACGTACTATAAGGCCAACCCTATCTCACGAACAATTCGTATGTATTTTACGAGGTGGCTAATTCATATGACCTCACTCGTACGATTTTGTACGATTTGTCTAGACCCCAGTGATGGGTAGGTTTAGGGGCAGGGTTAGGTGTAGGTCATTCGTACAAATTCATACGAATTGTGCAACTCGTAAAATACGTACGATTTAGCACAAATCATATGAATTTGTACGAGTGAAGTCGTACGAATCTGTACGAATTAGCCACCTCGTAAAATATGTACGAATTGCCGTGAGATCGCCGGTACTTTGATGTCATACGCCGATCGGTCTGCGCAGCGCCGATGCATCTCGAACAAGCCTATAGTCCTTTGCCACGTCACAACCTGTGACGTCGCCACCATGACGATTTTAAACCCCGCAGACGAAAGTAATGGGGAAAAAAGCTCAAAATTAGACATTTTTTTCCTTCAGTTAAAGCTAACAGATGCTAATATTGTCTTAAATGGTGTTCAACACACATAAATCTGTTAAAATCTAAAAAAAAATGTAGTTTAGGGTTTCATGACCCTTTAAGGCCAGCGGTATAGTGGTCTGTTGGCATCGCCGTGCCTGTTTGGTATTGCAGCTTGACTTGAAGTTATAGAAAATGCTCTAACCAAATGTGACATTTATTTTTTCCTCACAGTTTTTGCTGTTGAACTGTATATATAAATTGTGAATTATGACCATTTTAAAATCTTTTAATTTACCTTGAAAAATTATTGTAGAAAATACAGTTTTGCGAGAATCATCCTCAAACTTAATCTTGAACTTGGTAAAACAATGATCTTTATTTTAAACGTTTCAAGTCTTAATATTTTTCCTTTTGTTAAATCATATTGAGATGTATGCTAAAATTGTTCGACGTGGCGCCCTACCTAGAAAGTTTTAAACCAGCCGCCACGGCATCCAGTGGAAAGGTTCCATGGATTTTAAATGTTCTTCATGCAACCATGAATGTCAATAAAGAACCTTTATTTTTAAGAGTGCATTCTTAAAAATAAAAGTTTCAAAGAAGTGATGCCATAGAAGAACCATTTTGGGTTCATCAGACCATCAATACCAATGAAGAACCTTTATTTTTAAGAGCATATAATAACTTTGATTATTAAACAATCAATAAATAGGTCTCAAAGTCATGCATATTTAAATATAAATGCATAGATTAAAATATATGGATTAAAGTTTAATGATGTTTCAAATTAGCCTGTTTTAAAGTTTAACTAAGCTTAGTCGGTTTTCTATAAAGTAGCCTATGTTAGAAAGAATGTTGGAAAGGCTTCAAATGACGTAAACACTGAAAAAATGACAGTTTTGATATATATATATATATATATATATATATGTATATA